GAGAGTCATGGGAACTCAGATGAAGTACGGTTTCCCTGTTCTTCAGAGCGCTGAACAGCTTCCTCTGCTTCTGTGGTCCAGAGTAAAGTGAGTCTGAAGTCTCATTGATTCATAAGAGCTGCTGATCTGAATGCTGCTCGACAGTTTGAAAACAAGGAGCGTTTCATTCGGCCATGAGCAGAACATAATGAGCTTTTGTTAGGAAACAAAGGCACTAATTCAGTGTCACAAACACACAAACTCATGTACACTTACACAACAGCCACATGTACAGTCTTGCCACCAATACACAAGCATTATTTTGCATAAGAATAACTGCTTCATGATTTGTACTTAAAGATTTATTCCTGCTGTTTTCCATTCAGACTCTCGTCCATCATAAACAGAGTGACCGTAAGCTCGCTCAGCAGATCATCCACAAAGGGCTTTTTCATTTTTGCTTGTTTTTTTCGGGTCAGCTGCTGTAGTGAAGGACACTTCCTGTAGGTGTTCAGGTGATTTCCTGTTTTTACAGAGCTTGTGATATTCGTATTAAGCAGTCAGTTTTGCTGTTCTAGCAGCGCTAATTGCAGGGAAACGGAGAATTACAGATATCATACATTCACTGTGTTCACTACATTCATACGTGTCAGATCATCAAACATACTGACTGACATACTGTGTGAGTGTGAGTGTGAGTGTGTGTGTGTGTGTGTGTGTGTGTGTGAGAGAGAGAGAGAGAGAGTCTGTGAGAGTGTGAGTGTAAGTGTGAGTTTTGTGTTTATGCCCCTGCTGTTGTAGCACTTTAATTCATAAATGTGATCTAACAAAGGTAAAGAGCAAATATCAACCATATATGCTGTTTATATTGCTTGTAATTGGGATGAAGTAAACATCTGTTGAGTGTTTTAACTTTTTTTTTTAAATTGTGCTGAATTAAAAACCCAAAACTTCAGCAGGTCCACCAGACCCATGAACACTGGCTGAATAACAAACATATGAACACCACACAAGTGTTAAAGCCATGAGGATGAGTGAGTGTGTGTGTGTGAGTGTGTGTGTGTGTGTGTGTTTTTGTGTTTCTGTGTGAGTGAGTGAGTGTGAGTGTGTTTCTGTGTGTGTGTGTTTCTGTGAGTGTGAGTGTGTGTGTGTGTGTGTGTGTGTGTGTCACCATATATGATTGTTGTCACTGTTATTGAGATTGCTGTGGAGCAGACTAGTGAAGGTTCAGATGATTGTGATGTGTTTGTGTTTAATTCCTGTAACGTTCCTGTGATTGTTTAACTAGTCCTCTGGTTATGAGACGTTGCAGCTCCACATCTTTATCCTCTGCCACTTCCTCACTGTTTTCTGTTTGTTTTTCTACATTCATTCTTCCACTTTGTGTTTTGGTCTTTCAGGAATTCCCTTCCCAAAGAACTTCATCCAGATCTGTAAGAAGATCCTGTGTCGTCTTTTCCGTGTGTTCGTGCACGTCTACATCCATCACTTCGACCGGATCCTCCTGATGGGAGCCGAAGCGCACGTCAACACCTGCTACAAGCACTTCTACTACTTCTCCACCGAACTCAACCTGATAGAGCGGAAGGAGCTGGAGCCGCTGGTGAGAACAGAACCAGACTTTCACATGTGGAACGAGCCGTGTCTGCTTCCATGGCGTAAATACAATAAAGCATCATTTTACTTCCTTCTGAAACTCTCTTCATTTAGAAATGGACTGAATCTGCAGTCGTGAATGATGTTTCTTTCTCATCACGTTCTTGATGCTGATTGCATTAATAATCTCGTTCTGAAGCCGTATGACTTTCTTTCTTCTGTGAAGCACAGTGAGATGTTCACACAGAAAGTGAGCAGGAGCTAAAAAAAGAAAAGCAGTCTATTCCAGGTCTTCTGAAGTCAAAGATGCTTTGTGGTGGAACACACAGATTCAAGTTGTCTTGCTGTGAAGTCTTTTGTATTCATCAGTGCCTGTGTGTGTGTGTGTGTGTGTGTGTGCGTGTGCGTGAGTGTGAGTGAGAGAGTGTGTGTGTGTGTGTGTGTGAGAGAGAGTGTGAGAGAGTGTGTGTGTGTGTGTGTGTAGTGTGTGTGTGTGTGTGATATTGCACTAATGTGATTCTCTCTCTCTGGGGATTTCAGAAAGAAATGACCTCTAGAATGTGTTTGTGAGCGTTTCCAAACAAGCACCTGAGAGGCTGTGAGCTGGTCGTTGCCGTGGAGATGAGGTCATCACCGAGGAGCCTGTGACATCATCACTGAACTCTAGGGCTGAGGCTGACAGTGAGCAGCGCCATCTAGCGGTGAGGTGCTAACAGAACAATCAGAGGACTAATCGATCACTAGTCGTGTTTTGTCCAGATATCTGCTCAAATCCACACTGGACAGCTTAATTTTAACATTCAGCTCTGTGAGGTTTGGATGAGCTGCTTTCATTCATCTCCATGTCATTTTATTTCTGTTTGTGTTGCACTGAAATGAGTTTTAGTCACTGGATCATTTGAAGAAACGTCTCGCTGTCGTAGAAATCTGATGCTCAGTTCAGCCACAGAGAGTAATTCTGTGAATTCTGCTCATCTTCAGTGGAGGAGAGCTGAAGTGAATAGAAATGCTCACACAGTATCTGCACTGATTCTGTTCAAATCTCTAGTTTGCATCCTGTTACTAAACCACTAAAATTAATTAGTTTAATTGGTGTTGTGTAAGTTCCATTTTCAAGCTCTCATCCATCTTTTTTGTTTGAAACTTGAGCGTCCTGCCCTGTAAATTTCTTAAATATTGCAATAAAGAATATTTTTATTGTATTTAACTGTATCACTCCCAACGTTTATGAGAACATATAGCTGAAATATTTGATTAGAAAGGTTTTTTCAGAAATGTGATTGTTAACTTCAGCCGCTGCTGTTTGTAATACTTCTACATATCCATGCATTGAAATCTGGTTATTTTTTCTGCAGAGTATCTCTAGCCGACCTGAAAAAGCCACACTTGCAGCCTGTAAGCTCTTTATCAGTTGCACTTACCTTGATTACATGAAACCTGTAAATCAGGAGGTTCTTAAACGCTGCAATCTTAATTCCGCGCCAGATTAGACCGCAGATCTTGAGTGCTTTGACGGGTGTTTCTGCTTTCTTTAATCTCAGATTTGTGAGCTGAGGCTGATATAAGAGACAGCGATCGCGTCTCTGCTTCTCAGTGCTGCGCCGGAGCTCCAGATGAACACATTTGTGCTCCTCATTCTTCATCATGACACAGACTCGCTTAGATTTCACTGCTATTAGTCAGAGTGTTTTTCCAGTCAAGCTGATTTCTCTCTCAGGTCTGTCTGCTAGAGCGTGAGGGCCGCAGGCTTCATCATGAGTGAGAAACCGTCCTCGTCTGGGCCACCGCTGTGTGTGCAGCTCTTCTCCGCCGTGGCTCTGGTGTGTTTTGGTCTCTACTGCATCGTCAAAGGAGTTTCCTTCGGCCTCTTCAACTGGTGGTACATTCTGGGCGCCGCCTGTCTGCTGGCCACCGGCTTCGCTGCCTTCCGCGTCTACGAGGTGTGTGTGATCATGACACAGAGGGAGACGGCCGAAGGAGAGCCGTGAGGAACGGCCCGTTTGTCCTCGTTAGGACGTCAGGACCCATCTTCATGTGGAGTGAATTATTAAATTAGAGCTGCAGACTGACAGAATCCAAGAGAACATGTTTTCTGCTGTTACAGGTCAAATGATTGACATGTAAAACCATATATTTTGTGTCTTGTACAATTAAATGTTCACAATGCAAGTGACAATTCCCTGACATAGTGAAAAGTGCTCATAATCATTAAGCATTATTATATCACAAAACATCTATGAAAGATGTCGGAAAAAGTTTAAGGAAAAAATGAATTGTGCAAAAATGAATTAGCTGATGGTTATAATCTGTGTCCAGAAAATATAATGTGACATGAATAAATCAATTCAGTTTTTAATAAACTTTTTAGGGTAGTGAAATGGACAAAAGACAAATGTCCTTTTTTAGATCCTGTTTTTTAATGATTAAATCAGGGGGGAAAACTTGCTTGTGCTTGCTGGCAGAGTTATTGGATCGTAGATGTCAGTTTGGATTGATCCTGATTGACAGTCGCCTGGAGCTGAAGATTAAGGGAAGTTTCATGATTTAATGCAAGATTCATGAGTGACTAATGACACTATCATTAAAATGCTTTTTCTGTAAAGATGCTTTGAAACGATCTGCGCTATACAAATACATGTGAAACTGATTTCAGCTCTATGTACAGCATGGTTTTATTCAGCATTCATATACTTAGTGACTTTGGTGATCATAATGTTAAAATGAGATGGAATGTGGATCAATTCAAAGAGGTCAAATTAAAAAGTTTATCTAAAATTACCACAGTGTTTCTGTTAAGTCTAAAGATGACCATTTAAAGAAAACCGTTTCATGGCCAAAAAAATCCCTCAAGCTTCGCAGCAAATGTTTTTACATGCTTCTGAAAGCTGTCCAACCAATTCCTGTATCCTGTACACATGATCACACACTGAGCTCTTATTTGTCGGTACTGCAGGGGTCGGGTTTGTTTCATGTGTGCTAAGAAACAGTTAATATTGCTTTATTTGGTCACAAAACTAGAAGCTTTTCCAGAGGTTTTGTGGGCTCAAAGCTGCAGGATTCTATTTTGCACAAAACAGTATGAACATTTAAAAACAAGCTGGCTCGCAGTATCAAACGACGGGCTTTTTATTAAAAACAATGAAATCTACAAACGTCACACATCTGTCAGTATCTGCATTCATCATCTCACATACCAATAAACACTTCACAACATAGAAATATGATCTGGTAGTCATTTAATGAAACACAATGTGTGTAAAACTGAATCCTGCTCAGAGGATCTAATTAACCGTTCGTTAAGCACTCTGAGATTTGTACAGTAACAGCGACGCGTCAGCCGGCTTCCTCTGCAGAACAGTCAATGCCAGCATATGTGAACTTCTCATAGAGCGTCGTGTTGACGTACGTTCAGCTCATACCTGCAGAGACAGAGAAGCAGACTCATCTCCACTCTATCATCCGCAGATGGACACAGGTGTTTGAGACTTACACCTCGTCGTCACAGTTGAGCGGCTTCTCCAGCCGATAGCCCTGCGGGAGTTTCTCGTACAGCTGCGCGCACGTCATACCGCAATACGGTGTTCCACCTGCCAATCAAAGCCACCAAATCACATCATGCCAGTAAGAAAACAGACATTATCAGACCTTGAACTCTGACTGCATTGATCGTGTGACAGACCTAAGCTGACCATCACACACACTCACACACACACAGACACACTCTCTCTCACACACACACACACACACACACTCACACACAGACACACACTCACACACAGACACTCTCTCACACACACAGACACACTCACACACACACACACTCACACAGACACACTCTCTCACACACTCTCACACACACACAAACAGACACTCACACACACAGACTCTTACACATCACTGTTGGTGGTGTAAACGCTGTAGTTGAGAGATTCGATGGCCATCCATCTCACTGGCAGATGCCCCTGCAGAGAAACATGCATGTTAAAATCATCACATTCATTAATGCATGACAAGATCAGCAGCCTTCGGATCATTACCATAGTCTTCTTCACGTAAACCTCCTGACCTCGGGACAGGCCGAAATCAGCAATCTTTGCCACAAAGTTTTCTCCCACCAGGATGTTTCTGGCTGCTAGATCTCTGTGGATAAACTGCAAAATAACAATATTCATGGAGAAGCTGATTGTCATTGTTATTCAGAAATGTTTTTACAGCCTTAATCTGGAGTTAATTAATTGTGCAGTGGTGCAAAGCTGGAACCAGCAACCCTCCGGTTATCACCACACCGCCTCTATATACTATGACTGAAATAAATTTGCATATCGACTACAGTGTAAATGATTCCATTCTGTGAGAAGATAGCAGACCACCCCACCGGGCCCCCATGCTAACTGCACGCCATCAACAACAACGCATGAAATGAGTCCAAGATCACCGAGATTGGACCGTGAATAATTGGAAGAAAGTGGCCTGGTCTGATGAATCAAGTTTCCTGGTGTATCTCATCAACGGATACGCCAATTACCAACGGAGACTATAGGTGCTTTCGCACCACGTAGTTCTAGGAACTCAGTTCTAGGAATTTGCCAGCAGGATTGTTCCTAGAGAACCAATTTCTCCCTCGGGGCGTTTTCCTGGTTGCATTGCAGCAGGAACTCTGAAGCGGCCTACAGCGACGTCTTTATTCGCGGCATTTACAAACATCAACAACCGGTGAATGGAGGACGCCGTGATTGGAGTTTTTGTTGTGTCGTGGGTTTGTGATAACGGAGATGGAATGTAAACGCACAATTTACGCGATTGATTGAACATGAAAATTTGACCAAATCTTCTATGACAACTTGTAGTGTTATCATCGAGGCTGAGAAAAGAACACAGTGCTGCAGACAACAGGCAAATTCTGTTATTGCTGTTTTCCATGTTCGTGGAGTAAATATTTTTACATGGATTTTTAAAAATGCCGGGTAGCCGGTGTTTCGTATGTGTTTGGCCAGTCAGTGTACACTTACATCACTGGTAGTTCCTATAGAACTGTTTTAGACCTTACTCTGGAGTAGGAGCTAATTTAGTTCCCCCAAATGGAGTTTCTAGAACTAAATACGTTCCTAGTTCCTGCAGTGCGAACACGCCAAAAAGCGGAAACTTCCGCCAATAGTCACCACCACCCCACAATGTACAGGAACTGAAGGACCTGCTGTTGATATTATGGTAGCAGATAGACCAGAAGATGTGTGAACCACCTCGTCGAATTAATGCCTTGCCGCTGTTTTGTGGGCTAAAGGAGGTCCTACAGGTTATCAGATAGGTGGTCATAATGTAATGGCTCATCGGTGTATAAAATGATAAGAAATCATTAAAAAAATAATAAAAAATGATTATTAATAGTAATAATAATCAGAATCAGAAAGAGCTTTATTGCCAAGTGTGTTCACACACACTAGGAATGTGTCTTGGTGTTAGGAGCTTCCGGTACAGAAAATACAAACAAAGTGCAGACATACATAAAATGAGAGAATAGACAATAAATTAGAAATAACAATAGTAATAAAAATATACAGAAAAAGGAAAAATGTTCATAGACAGAACTGTGAATGTGCTATTTACAGATGAAGGTTTAATGAGTTATGTACAGATATGCAGTACTGAGGTGTGTTATGTGTTGGTCAGGTGCGATATGGCCTGGGATAAAAAACTGTTCTTGTGTCTGGCTGTTTTGGTGCACAGCGCTCTGTAGCGCCGGACAGAGGGTAACAGTTTAAAAAGAGAGTCGGCTGGGTGTGAGGGGTCCAGAGTGATTTTCTTAGCCCTTTTCCTCACTCTGGAGATGTAAAGTTCTTGGAGGTTATAGAGGGGCACCAATAATCCTCTCAGCAGTCCTGACTGTCCGTTGTAGTC